TAAAATAAAAGAAAATTATTAAATTAAAAAGAAAAAAAGAAATCCAATGCAGGAGGATTGCTTGAGCCCAAGAGTTCAGGGCCAACCAGAGCAATATAGAAAGACTTGATCTAAGAGGAAGGAACAGAAAAGGAGGAAGAGAGGAGAGAAGAGAAGGGACAGAAAGTGGAGAGGAAGGGAAGGGAGAGAAGGGAGGGGAGGTCAGGGGAAGGTTGGGGAGGGGAGGGAGATTTGGAGAAGAAAGCTACATTGATCCTTTTGAGAGGTTAATTGTTGGGATGCTGACCCTGAGAACTAGTACATAAACCAGAACAGATCACCAAGACTTGATCCAGAAGTGTTGTTAAGCATAAAAGGTAAGAGACGCTGAAAGGGCAATGTGGTTCTGGCCACTCACAAAGGAAGGAAGGCTCAAGGGTGAACTTCATGGTAGACTGAGAATTTGGTGTCCATTCATTCCTCCCATAAATGTGTACCTAGGCTAGCCCCTGAGCTTATGATAGTAGATACAACACAGTCCTTAGGCCCTTTGGGGACTTCGGCCACCAAAACGCATCACATTAGGCAACATGTTACAATCGGGTGAAGAATCAAGAGCAGTAGGAGCTTTTGTGAAAGTCAAGAGGCATGACTCAGCCCACAGTCTAGGGAGTGGAATAACTCTGCAGGGTTCCAACCAGACAGTGCTTCCCACTAAATTTCAATGGCCATGCTGCTGTAGCCTGCTCTCCATCCCCAACATGCGTTCCACAGATATTCAGACAAAAAGAGAGGACTCAATGCATATGGAAAAACTCCAAAAGGTTGTTAATTGGTTTTCTAAATATATCCACTTGCATTAAGGGAAACTGCTACCCTGTAGGGATCCAGTTTGATGTGGCTGAAGCCATTGTGGTGGTAACTCTCATTTTGCCTGCCAAGTGACCCTTGCACACACTCTAAACTCTACAGGAAAAAGTTAAGACAGTCAGCCTGGGGTTTTGTGTTAGCCACTGACACCTAGACTATTTCTCAACTGATATTGACCCCAGCCCAGTAGCTTAGCATATAAGCCCTTCCTCTTGTCTCAGGGTATGGGTATCTTCTTGGCCTGCTGTTGTGCAAGACATTCTTTATGCTTTTTAATCTAGATGTCCCTCAAGAACCTCATGTGATCACAGATGGGACTTTTGGAATGTGATTAGATTATGGGGGCTATTAGCTGACTTGCTGTTAGGAGAAAGGGTCTGGTCCAGGAGGTGGGTATCTGGGGATGTACCCTGGAAGATCTATCTCCTTCCCCAGTCCTCCATTCTCTCTCTGCTTCCTGTCCACCATACTCCTCTGCCATGCCATCCTGCTTTGAAGCCAGTTGATTACGGGCTGAAATGTGAGCCGAAACAAAGCCTCCCATAAGTTGCAGGTGTTGGGTATCGACAATGTGGTTCAGAAGCCTTTGGAACTGCTTTGCTGGAGGAGTCTGGAAAGGTTTGGCAATGCCAGCTGGAGAAAGAGTCCTAGAATGCTGTAAGCTGCACTTGATCTCAGAAGACCAGAATGTTGACAGAAATACGAAAAGACCAGGTTTAGGAGATTTCAGTTGGGAAAAAAGACTCCATTAGCATCAAGGGTAGAGACTATGTGTGTGACACTCTGGCAGATTTGTCTACATTTTGTTCATGTCTTCAGAATTTGCAGGAGGCTGAAATTAAGGGCAGTGGACTAATTAATCTGGTGGAGGAAGTTTCAAGGCAGGTCAATATTCAGCCTGTGGCATAGTTACTGCTTACCGCTTCCAATAGCAAGATCTATTCAAACAAAAGCAAAAAGTCCATTTAAAAAGTTTTCAGAGCCAGGCATGGTGGAGCAAGCCTGTAATCTCAGCATTTAGGAGACTGAGACAGGAGGATTACTGGAAGTTTGAGGTCATCCTGGGCTACTTAATGAGTTCAAGGCAACCCTGAACTGCACAGTGAGACCCTAAAAAACCAAAAGATAATGGGCATGGTGGCACACACCTGTAATCCCAGCATTGGGAGGCTGAGGCAGGAGGATCACTGAGTCTGAGGCCAGCCTAGGATACACAGTGAGTTCATTGCCAGCTGGAACTATATAGCAAGATCCTGTCTCGAAAAAAACCCAAAACAACAATAACAACAAAACCCCACCAGACCTTGCCAAATGCACTCGGGATAGGATTAACATATCACACCACTGAGAACCACTGAACTAAACCAGATTAAGAACTGTTTATTGTTGGGCTGGGGATTTAGCTCAGTGGTGCCACCACCTGCTTCGAAAGCGCAAGGTCCCAAGTTCGATCCCCGGTACCAAAACAAAAAAAGAACTGTTTATTGTTTAATAACAAATGCTGGCAAAGCTGCAGGGAAAAAAGGAATGCTTCTACACTGTTGGTGGGAATGTAAATTAGTACAACCACTATAGAAATCATTATGATTTCTCAAAAAACTAAAACTGTAAATTCCACTTGACCCAGCTACTCCCCTTTTAGGTATTTTCCCAAAAGAGTTTTACGACATCGTATTACAATGATACATGCAGGGCCAGGATTTAGCTCAGTGGTGCTGCTTCCTGCCTCGCAAGCACAAGGTCCCGAGTTTGAGTCCTGGTACCAAAAAAAAAAAAAGAAAGTACAATGATACATGCATACCCATGTTTATAGCAGCACAGTTCATAATAGCTAAGTCTTGGAAGTGGCCTATATGTCCATCAACAGATGAAGGCATAAAGAAAATGTGTTTTTTACCCACAGTGGAGTACTACTCTCCCATAAAGATAAACTTGAGTCATTTGTAGGCAAATGGATGCACCTTAAGACCATAATGTTAAGTGCAGTTAATCAGGCACATAAGCTTAAATATCATATGGTTTCTTATATGAGAAACCCAAAATATAAATAAAGAGCAAAATAAAGAAAATAATAGGAAGTACGGAGGTACTAGATGTTTCTCAACAAGGAAGGGTATCAAGAGAATCAACTAGGAAGAGTATCAGAGGAAGGGAAATGGAAGGAAGATGAAAAAAGTCATTATGTCCATGTATCAACTCTCCACTAGGAATGTAAACATTATGTACTGCCAACATGTACTAATAAAAAATTTTTAAAAAGAAATGTTTATTTGAACTTCCTCTTCTATCCATGGGACTTCAAATCATCCTCCTCTTCCCATGTAAGTAGCAGAAATCCAGATAAAATGTATAAAACAACTATGTCCAGACTGTGAAAATGTAGAATTATAACCTGAGAAAAGAAAAATGAGTAAGGTGAGTCTAACTATTGCCTATGGTTTCCTCCTAAAAGTAATTCCCAGATTGCAGCACAGGGAGGGAGAACCTAATTGGAGTCTAGGATTCTTACTGGGTTGAGAAGACAGAAATCAGACTTTGGGAGGCCTGCTCGCGTTAGCAGTATGCCTGACAGGAAGGATCTACAGAGAATATAGCTCTAGAAATCTGTATAGAATACTCTTGAATCTTGGCTAAATACTTACATTCGCATGCGTAAAGTAAAACCACATAAGATGGCTGGTCAGAAAAGAATTACCCAGGAGCCCTTTTTTTTTTTGGTACCGGGGATCAAACTCGGAACCTTGTACAAGGCAGGCAGCGGAACCAATGAGCTAAATCCCCCACCCAGGAGCTTTTAGGCTAAATTCCCACAGCTCACCTAGGGCGAAGAATTTTACAAACACCCCATCAAACAGAATACACACATATTCTTTCCAAATGCAAAGGGAACATTCACCAAGATCCACCATATGCATGGCCATAAATGAATCTCAAGAAATTTAAAAAGAAGCAAGTGCAGGGCCAGGGATTTAGCTCAGTGGTTCCCCCACCTGCCTTGCAAGTGCAAGGCCCTGAGTTCGATCCCCAGTACCAAAATAATAATAATTTTTATTTTTTATTTTTTTTAAAAGAAGCAAGTGCAGGCTGGCAAGATAAAAGCCGTAGGAGCATCTGAGGTGGGTGGCATCTGCCCAGCTGTTCTAGAGCCCACACAGGCCCACCTGGCTGCTGTCAGCTCCAGCCTGGCTTTATCACAAGGTTGTGTATGGTTACAGAAATCCAAGAAATGTGAAGACCCTAGAAAAGACATCTAAAAATGTTGAAACTGTATTGGTGAGTGCTCTTGCATGTGGTGGTATCCTGAAATTACATATTCAAGTGGATGAAAAGAGGAAGATTGTGGATGCCAGTTTTAAAACCTTTGGCTGTGTTTCTACAATCGCCTCCAGCCCATTAGGCCTGGAATGGGTGAAAGGGAAGAAAGGGGAGAAAACCCTGATTATCAAAAACACAGAGACACCAAGGAGCTCTGCCTTCCGCCGGTGAAACTGCACTGCCCCATTCAGGAAGAAGATGCAATCACGACCACTGAGGTGGACTACAAACTCCAGCAAAAACCCAAGAAAGGAGATGCACAGAAGAGAGCCCTTGGCAAAGCTACACCGGGTCACTGAGCTGTTTGCTCACCTCTGCGACATCAACTTCGATGCCCAGATGATCTTTGCACTACTTTTTTTTTTTTTGGTACCGGGGATCGAACTTGGATTCTTGTGCTTGCAGGGCAGGCGGCGGAACCACTGAGCTAAATCTCTGGCCCTCTTTGCACTACTTTTAAAATCTACTGAGATTCGCGTATTCACATAGTAACTCTAACGCTAGCAAATGCAACGTTTAATTTTTCCGAATACTGTGGTTACTTTCAGCTCATTTTTACTGCCTTAATGTAATACATATTTTGATTTACACATATGGCCTCAGAACTGAAATCAATGAAGTCAAGGTTTTTTTCTTTTGTTTTGGTACCGGGGATCGAACTCACGACCTTGAGCTTGCGAGGGAGGCGCCTGAACCACTGAGCTAAATCCCCGGCCCGTCTTAAGTTTTGATGACCCAATTTTACCTAAATCTATTTTGAGGGAGACTGCTAGTAGAATGCCTTGTTGTGTTTCCTTAATAGTGCCAATTTTTGTACATACGTAAGACAAAAAAATATTTTTTTCAAAAAGAGGGCCGGGGATTTAGCTCAGTGGTGCCGCCGCCTGCGTCGCAAGCGCAAGGACCTCAGTTCGATCCCCGGTACCAAAAAAAAAAGGACTGCAATTTTTCGCAATTACATAAAGGAAACCAAAATAAACTGAAGTGGGGATGAAACGAGTGTATCCAGATAGAGTGGTTGGTTGAGACAGTGCCCCGCAGGGGTAAGAGCCGAGCCCTTGAGACTGTGAAGCCAAGGAAACCAAAACAGCCCTCCACCAAGTTCTGGGCTTTAGTCTGCAGAGGTGAGGGACTGGCGGCCGGGGCCCCAAGACCGCTCAGTCACTTCCTGGCTAGTAACTATCCTCCCCAGGCTCAGCTTATCTGTGATACCCTACACCCTACCATGAGGACACCTCACCTGGCAGTCAACCACCTCGGCCAAATCAGGTTGGATGGGCGGCGGCTCGCGCAAGCAACACAGGTAGAAATTCGTGTCAAAGCGGTGGCGTTTCTCAGGAATGAACGGCGTGAGCCACCCGCTCCAGTCGTGTAGCGCCCAGATGTTGGGCGTGCAGTCCAGGTGCGCACACAGGTCCAGGAAGTGGCGCGCGTCGCCACGGACGCGGGCGCGCCAGGTGGACACGTCCGGCGGAGGCTCGAGGGAGCAGTCGGGTTCGGGATCGGAATCCTGGGACTCCGGAATCTGCCGGGGGCCCCTGGTCCGCAACAACAGCACGCCGGCCTCCTCAAAGGCCTCGCGGATGGCGCAGATGCGCATGGCTACGTCATCAGGCAGCGCCGCGGCATCCCCGTTTTCGACCTCGGGCCGAGAGTCCGGCAACACCGGGAAGGTTAGTCGCTGGGGCGTAGCCGGGCTCAGGCCAAAGCGAGGTGCTAGGTGGTGCGGCGCAAAGAGGTGCAGCCAGTCAGCCGAGCGGTCGGCAGCGTCCAGTACGCCGCCTGGGAAGACGTGCGCGCCGGGCAAGAAGCCTTGGCCCATGGAGCGCCGCAAAAGCAGCAATCGGAACCCCTCGGTGGGCGGCAGGGAGGACGCGGCGGCGCCCGAGCTCTTCCTTCCGGCCGCCAGCACTACGGTGGCCGCCTTGCGCCAGACCCTTAGGTCTGGCTTCAGGGGCTTACTCATGACGGCCGGCAGCGCACGGCTTTCAGGCTCGACCCGAGCGCCCGGACAGGTTGTCTGGTGTTACTCCGACCGGGCCACTTCCGGGGCACCAAGGGGCCTTTATTTACACCAGCGCCTGCCTGTGGGAGGGGCGTGACACCGGAGAGAGCGGGCACCGCCTCGAATGAGCTCGCGTCTAGCCAAGTCACTGTCCCAGGATGTGCGGGGCTCCAGCGAGTGATTGTCATTCACAGCTGCCAGAAAAGGGGGCTGCATTAGCCCTACTCGGTATGCTTAGACCAAGAGCTGAGTGCTTAAGGCCGCATATGACTTGCCATATTACACAGGGGATGGAAACCAAGGCCTAACTATTATACCTTCCTCGCCCACTAAAACCTGAGGACTAGGACTTTTTTTCCCTTGAACAAGGTTGGAAGTGTTTCTTTTGGAGTAGGGCAGAGGGTGCTCAAGGAGCAGGTGTCTGCGTTTTGCAGGTTCACATGAACCATGCTAACGAGAAACAAATGGATGAATCAGATGCTAAATCACAGTATTCCTGTGCAACCTAAATGTGAACGATCCTTCCAGAATCCCTATTCCCGGTGCCAGTTTGTCTTATTACTAGATGCCTTTTATTGTCAGGACACCTGGGGACCTCCTTAGGCATCTTAGGTTATTTTATTAATTCCACTTTCTTGGGAGATGTTCTGTCTTGGCCCAGGGACAGGGATTTCTCTTCAGCTTGTTAGAAGCCAGGAGACTCCAAGCTCCAAGAGTAGCACTGTCTTTTGGAAAGAGCCTGTTTAAATCTGAGCCCTCTCTTACAATTCCTTTTGAGTCACCAACAGCACCTCCTACAATTCTATTACTATGGATCACACATTCCTTATGTTTTTGGATGACTTAGACTATACTCCTGCTGAGCCTTATTTTTAATTTTTTTTAAATGTATTCCAAGAGGGCTGGGGATTTAGCTCAGTGGTTCGACTGCCTGCCTTGCAAGCTCAAGGCCCCGAGTTCCATCCCCGGTACCAAAAAAAAAATTGTTCCAAGAAAAGAAACATGGCCATGAATTCCCCCTCAAAATCTTCCTCCTCCCTTCCAGTGCACTCCTCCCTTCCTCCTCATCACTTTCTGCAGCAGCTCTGGAGTCTTTCCTGAGGGTCTTTAGTTGCACTGTCCTGGCTATCTTCGAGATCGTAAATCATCAGGTTTTTATTTGATAGAAATTGCTCTGTTGTTCCCAGCCTCTCAGGTTCATCTGCTCACTACTGACCAAATCAAAGGAGGCCAAGCGTTTTGGTGAAAAGGAAAAAGGATTTTTTCAAAGCTGGATCTGAGGAGACAGAAGGGCCCATGTGCCTGTGTGTGGGTGGGAAGGAAACAGCAGGGGGGCACAGAGCTCTGATGCTGTGTCCCTTCAGCTGCCTCCAGCCCATTGTTCCCTTTCTCGTGGACCAGAACCTGGTCTCCAGTGTCTGCATATTCTCTCTTTTAGGCCAAGAGGAGAAAATGTGGTCACTTCCACTCCAGAAGCTGGTGGAACTGACCTTGTCTGATAAGCTTGGGACTCAATAGGGAGGAACTGCGGCCACTAAAATTTACAGTGAAGAGCTGAAAGTTTAAAATTCACTACTCAAGGGCCGGGGATGTAGCTCAGGGGCACTGCACCTGCCTGGCAAGTACAAGGTCCTGAGTTTGATCCCCGGTACCAGGATAAATAATTAATTCACTACTCTGGAAATCTTGGGTACTGAGGGAAAGGAATTGTTCATGTTTGTGTTTTCCCTGTAAAAATCAATCTTTACAGGGAATTTTTTAAGAGGCAGGTACTGAAAAACCTAATGAACCAAAGAGTTTTATGTAAAACATGTTTATTTATTTTGGTCCCCCTTTATAGACATTTTTACTTCTATCTTAAAATGAGTCATCTATTTTCATAAAAATAAAACTATTAAAATGCTGTTTAATATATATAACTTGAATGATATTCCTACAAAAAATCATAACTAATGATATATTTGTAATAATGGTAATTGTTAGATTTTTATGAAAAATGAGTAGCTGGAAATATGTAGCAATACTTAGTTAAAATTTTGGACCTTAGATACTGTGGCTGTCTAATCCTTTAAAAATTCTCTGCATTGTCAGTAACTGTAGTATACTTATTGTACAGTACTCAGTACTTTTTTAAAGTTTATGAAGTTATATTTATCAAATAAAAATTTTCCTACATAAAAAAAAAGGGAAAATGTTAGTTATGTGTTCAGTAGGAGGAAGTCTGGAGAAGTTGTTTAGTTCTAGAAGGAAAAACCTAACTTAAAGTTCTGTCCTTCAGTGCCAGTGACAAGTCACCCCTTGCTTATTTCTGCCCTCAATCTGAGGGGCCTGAGGTCCCACAACGTCCAGCTGGCTGTCCTAAGCTGGATTAGGGTATGGATCCTGTCACCAGGAGCCAGAGCACAGGGAAGCCAGATGCTTGAGCCTGCTGTGCAGAAGAACCTAGCTCATGACCCCTTCTATCCACTGGCATTTTAGTAGAGTTGACACAAGTGACCCTTTGATGCTGCTGAGGCTTATTTACAAACCATGTTTTAATATAGGTTTTCCCCCCCTCATGAGAATCCACAAACAGTAATGCCACTATTTAGGGTAATTTTTGTTAATATAATTTCTAAAGGTGCAAATAACTTGTGTACTTACTGCATTCCCCCAAGCAGAAAATGGGGCCACATGTTGAAAAAGGCACATAGTGGTCAAGTGAAGACGTGTTCTACAGAGAGGATCTACCAGCTTCCACCCAATTTAGGTCTGATGCCCACAATAATAATTAGTCTGGATAGACATTTGCCAACCTCTAGTCAGCTTATCTTTGAGAATAGACTATTTCTAGACCCAGAGTTCTCACTGATCCAGCTAGAATCCAAGCTAGCTTCAAAATGACCATCTAAATCTCAAACAGACCTAAATCCCATTATAATCCCACTTGCATGCTAAATGACACAACCCTTAGCACCATAACAATTGACAATTGTCATGTCCATGACCATAAAGATATTCTTCCTCTTTATTTGCCCAGTCCTCCCCTTCATTTCTTGTATCCTGTATGCATCGCCAATGGGTTGAGAAGTCAATTTCAAGCCTAGACTCCTGCTTCTCCATTCTCTGGAGTACATAAACTTGTGCTTTTGGCTGTCAACTTCCATTTCACTTTCTGGCTTGATGACACTGAACAGAAAAACATCCTGCTTTCCAGGCCTCCACCTTTGTAGGAGAAACCACATTTTTGCTAAGAAGTCTGCAGAATCCTGAGTTGGGAGTCTATAGTGGTTTATCTCTAATTATGCCCCCAAGAGCCTCATGTCCTCATAGGTGGGGCTTTTGGAAGGTGATTGGATTATGGGGGTTTATAACTCACTTGCTATTAGGAGGTGGGGTCTGGTAGGAAGAGGTCTCAAAGGTTTATCTCTCTTTCCTACTCCTCCATTCTCTTTACACCTCACCAGCACCATCACTGTGCTGTATGCAGCTTCTCTGCCATGCCCCTCTTCCATGCCATCCTCCCTTGGAGCCAGCCAACTATGGGCTAAAACCTCTACAAACTATGAGCCAAAATAAACATTTCTTCCTTTAAGATGTGGGTGTTAGGTATTGCATCTCAGTTACGAGCAAAGTAACTAACACAGGAACTATCCCTGATCTGTTTCTCTCAGCTATGAAGCATGGAACTCTCTGATCTGATAATCATTTCTGAGTCTACTATAGACTCCAGGGTAGTACTGAGGAGTATTTATTGTTTTAATGATGCTTAAGATCACAGCTGGAGTGCTATGCCATTGAGCCACATCCTCAGTGATAGCTTTCCCTCCAATTTAGGGTGGCTGTTGTATATAATAGCTACCTTTTTCTTCCCAACATGTCCCTACTCCCACCAAAAGAGTAACCTAATACTTGCTCTCCTTTGTCTCAAAAGCTAGATACAATAAAAGAAAAGATTGATCAACTTGGCTGTCTATATACATAACTGTTATGACAAAAAAACACTAACAGCAAAGTCTAAGACATATGGTAAAGTAGAAAAATTATCTGGAATGTCTATCACTAAATTTTAGAGTTTAGAAAATATGAAAAAAACTACGATTGTGGAAAAATGATCAAGAGATAGAAAAAGACAGTTCATAGTGACTAAGATCATAAAGACAAGTGTTTTTTGGTCTTCAAACCCACCAGCATCTTCTGAGTGCCCTGTACTGTTTGTCCGGTACGATAGCACACTGCCAGCAGCTCCAGACCTGAGCCTTGTGTGTAAGTCCACAAAACCATCCCTTATCAGCACTACTAATAACTGTGTGCCACTAGGTCACAAGGGAGTGGGCAGCTGTGTTTATGACAACAGTTGCTCACTTCATAGCTTAAAAACTCGACTCTTCATTCTTTTATTTTAGTGATCTTCCCTGGCTATCTTCATAATAAGAAATGGTCTCATTTGATTTACTAGAACATGTATAACTGAGAAAAGAGAAAAAATAAACTTTGCAAACAGATCATATGGCTGTTTGCCTACCTCCATGTGGGCTCTACTTCTACTTCAGTCTCAAATTCAGCAAGTTCAAACTCATTTCTGTTATTCATTATTAATCAGCCTTTTTAATTAAAAAAAAAAAAAAGAATAGCGTATAGGCTATAGGGCTACCTGAAGAGATGCCTTCAGCTTGGAGACAACTACCACAGTGTTGGTTTAAGCTGCTGTTATGGTTTATATGCATATGTCCCAGTAAAACCTCATCCAATCATAGGTAGGACCTTCAGAAAGTGATTAGAATATAGGGACATTATTTTTTTTTTTTTTTGGTACCGGGGATCAAACTTGGGTCCTTGTGCTTATGCAGCAGACAGCGAAACCACTGAGCTAAATCCCCGGCCCATTATAACTGACTTGTTAGGGCCAGGGATTTAGCTTAGTGGCACCACACCTGCCTTGCAAGTTCAAGGTCCTGAGCTCAATCCTGGCTACCAAAAAAACCCCCCAAAAACAAAAAACTTGACTTGTTAGGAGGTAGGGCTGTGAGGGCTGAGCCAACCCTCCCCAGTAGGCACCTGGAAAGGGGTACATTTAGTCCA